CTGAAGCTGCCCCTGCGGGCCCTGGCTGTGCTGCTGAATAGACCCTATGCCTCTGCTCAGCCCTGAACCCAGTAAATGTAGTCCTCAGCCTTAAACTCTCACCTCAGGGTGAGCACAGAGATGAAACAAAACTTCTGCTTGTCCAGCTGATGTTGTAGGCCACCAGGAAGGGGAAAGTTGAAGGATGACTTGAAGTGGGTCAATTTCAGATAAGAGAGGAGTATCCATTGTATGGACATTCTTCCCTTAGATGACGGAGCCAGGGGTCTCTCTCAAGTCCCTCCTGTCATCTTCTGAGACCCGAGTAGTGGGAAGAGCTGCAGGGCCACCCTGAAAAAGGGGTTATGTCTCTTCTCCATGCTCTCCACAGGCAGCATATCCTATCCTAGGGCACCTGGGCAGACACAACACCAGGCCTGGGAGGCCTGGCCAGTGGGCCTCACCCTGCTGAGGGGTGGACAAAACACCCCTGCCCCTGATTCTCTACTGTCACAGGTACAGGGGCCTGGGACTGAGGCTGCTGCCAGCCCCTCCGGAGTCTGAGCAGTGGCCAGGAAGACCCCTGGCTCCTCTGACCTCTCCCTTCCTTTGTCTCTGCAGTAGCTCCAGCATGCTGACTGGCAGTGACAAGATCGAAAAAGCCATTGTAAGAGAGGACATCTTGGACCCCATTGTGGGATCCTGAGTTTCACCCTGCTTGCCCCATTCCTTGCGAATACTCACTCTGAATCTCGGCCCTTGACAGCCCTTGGGCCCTGGTCCACAGCCCCATCTTGGAGCCCTGCCCCTGTTTCTCATCCTGGCCTGCTGCCCTCCTCCTGCCCTGTGTCCTCCGAGTCTTTGGGCACAGGGACCTCTCACAGCCACACTCTGGGCACTGGGATGGGGGTGTGGATGAGTGGCATGGCCATCCTGACCTTTGGCCTGTTTTCTCCCCAGGATCTGGCCAAGTTCCACATCATGATTGCAGTTAGAGAGGAGATGCAGTTGCTCAAGGAACAAATCCGGTACCTGGAGGAGGGCAATGCCATGCTTGAGCAGGAGAACCACCTGCTTCGAGGCCTGGCCAGCCCTGAGCAGCTGGCCCATTGCCCTCCTCGGGGCTCCCCAGACTTGAGTTCCCCCCACCCAGTGGGGCCTTCCGTCCCCCACAATTGCAGCCCTCTGGGGGCTGCAACTGATGCCGAGCCTCAGGCCAGCTGCCTGTCCCTTCTTCCTGTGCAGCTTTCATGGCCCCTGCTCCCAGGGGTTGAGAGCTCAGCACTGGCCTGCCCCCCTCCCCAGCCCAGTCTCCCCCAGTCCCCAGGCCTTGAAGGAGGAGGGAGGGCTCAGCAGGGAGGGGTGGTGGATGGAGCCCCCTCCCTCCCTAGGCCTCTGTTCTGGGCCCCCAGCAGTAGGTGGTTGGGCAGGAGGGGCTGGAGGCTTCCTGGTAGACCCCTCCCCAACTTATTTTTCCAAAATGACCCCTGTCTGCTCCTCAGGAAAGTGCATACGGACAGTATCTGGATGTTGCAGGAATCATCTTGTTTTTGAAATAATACTTATAATTTAAAAATCTGAAAAAAATCCAAAGAAAATCGCATTTGGAATTTGCGTGCTGTTGCTTGGCATTTGACGTGAGTCAGGGCGGTGCTGGCAGTGTGAGCCTCCTTGCCAGGGCTGGCTTGGTTCAGAGAGGTGGAGATGAAGTAGGAGGGGCAAAGCTAGCTGGAGGAATGAGCAGCACCTGTCAATCATGAGACCCCAGCGCAGCCCTGAAGAGTTGGGTGGGACCTGTCCATTTCAACAGCCCCTGGCCCCTAAGTGCCAGCAGCTTCTCAGCTCCAGGAGATCTAGGTGGTGTAAAATAGACAGACACCTGGAAGAGTTCACTGTAGCCTGACCTGGGTTTGCTAGACCCCGGATGTACGTTTGATGTTTCTCTTTCTCCC